ACTCGAACTGGTCCCCCCCCGGGTGTCAAAATTGTCGTCGATTGGAATTCGAACTCGAACTCGAACTGGTCCCCCCCCGGGTGTCAAATCGAAGTGGGTCCTCTCCCCCAGTGCATGGCAGTTGATCTTCGTACCGGACTTAAAGTCGAAGTCGCACTGGTTCCCCAGTCGAAGTGCATGGCAGTCGAAGTCGAAGGAACGCTACGTTGTAATGGCTCCTTCCTGCGCTAAATGTTACCCTCGGGTGGCCCACAAAAGTTTGCTACGTTGTGGTCAGTTGGTTGGTGGCTGCTGGCTGGCTGGCTGGCTGGCTGGCTGTTGGTTGGTTTGGTTTGGGTTGGGTTGGGTTGGTTGGTTGGTTAGCAGGTTTTTTGCCGCAGGGAGTTCACACTCAAATGTTGATTTCGTGGCAGGCGCGGGTTTTGGAGATGAAGTGCAGATTTCGTGGCGCGGGGAGGTTGGGGGGGGCGCAGCGCCCCCCCCAGCAGCGCACCAGATCCTAATAAAACCAGCGTTGGCTGCAAAGCAACAGGTTGGTTGCTTTGTTGCTAGCTTTGTTGGTTCATGTTCTTCTTTGTTGTGGGTCGTGACGCTTGCGGTTGTGGTTGTTGTCGTTGCTGTTGGTCTTGGCGTCTGTTGGTTGCTTCCTGTTGGTTAATGACCCCCCAGCAGTGACCGGGGGCAGGGTGACCATGGGTTGCAGTGTGGTCAGTTGGTTGGTTGCTGCTGGCTGGCTGGCAGCTGGCTGTCGGTTGGTTGGTTGGTTAGCAGGTTTTTTGCCGAAGGGAGTTCACACTAAAATGCTGATTTCGTGGCAGGCGCGGGTTTTGGATGAAGTGCAGATTTCGTGGCGCGGGGAGGTTGGGGGGGGGCGCAGCCCCCCCCAGCAGCACACCAGATCCCAATAAAACAAGTGTTGGCTGCAAAGATTTAAAAAAAAACTTGCAGCGCGGATAGTCTCAACAGGTTGGTTGCTTTGTTGCTAGCTTGGTTGAACTTGGTTGGTTCCTGTTCTTCTTCTTTGTTGTGGGTCGTGGCGATAGCGGTTGTGGTTGTTGTCGTTGCTGTTGGTTCTCGTTGCTGTTGTTGTGGGTCGATCCGAACTCGAACTCGAACTGGTCCACCCCGGGGGGGCCCCCGGCTCTATAAATTGTTGTCGATCCGACTGGGGCAGGGCCTGCAATTCTGGGAGGACCCTTTTGCATCCAACCATAGTAGTTTCCTGTCCATCACCGAACCTAGTTGTTTGATTTTGTTATTTCTTGCCTTTCCCACCCCAAAAATATATCAATGTGTTTTCCCCACACACTTCAAGTGCAACGCTGTTTGCTTGCAGATGCCCGCAAGCGACTTGAAGCGTTTTTTCGCTGACGTCCTGTCCATTCTTTCTACGACAATGCAGAAGGAGGGGCAGCAGCCACAGATCGACTAGGCAAGCGGTCTACTCTGACGGTTTTCACGGTATTGATTGTGCTAAGGTCGCGACAAGCTCTGAAATATAGATTGGAAGGCACAAAAGAAGGGCTCACAAGCTGGGGCTACAATCTCAGAAGAGTGACGGTAGACTACCGACACCAATTGACTCACACAAAGAAATCATCGTCAGCCACAATGTACTGGAAGTTTAACAGCAGAAATGTTTGCCTGTCATTTTTACAACGAATTGACGCTGCCTGACAAGTGTCGAGGTCATGAATACATTCGCAACATCGCTGGGGAGATTGGTGAGGACTTATTTTTACTTTGGCTTGCTGGCAGTGAGTCAAACCCACCAGTGTAGCTGGCGAGGACGGGTACCCCAAGAGTAGAATGGATCGCTTTTGATAGCAAGCTCCGAATGTTTCATAGACGAGTATGTTCAGCTCGTTGTTCATCGCTTTTATGCAGTGCAGACGAGTGCAGACGAGTGCAGGAGTTCAAAGAACGAACTGAGAAGGGCACAGATGTGAGCGACCTCCTTTCGTTAGTTGAGGCTACCTTTGCAGTTTGGCTCGTGTCCACAGAGTGTATGGAACAATGTGGAACAATATCAATATGTTTTTTTGTGTAAAAACACTATCGATTTGTTACGCACATCCAGGAGATAGTGCCATTCAACATGCAGCACAATGCAGAGGTTGTTGACTTCTCAGTCTAGATTTTGTGGAGTCATGCGATCTAAGAAGAAATTTATTGCTAAGGATGCTATTGACCTCTTGTGCGAGGTTGAAAAGGTTCAGACGTCAGCCAGTCTGTGTTTAAAACATATGATACCTTCCTTTTTCCAAATTCAAGCCGCCTAAGCAGGGAGGTGTGAAGATGCAAGGAGACCCTTTGTTGGCTTGCTGGATGCCCAAGGATCTACAGAAACAATTCCTAACCCTGAATGCCATTGAACTCTGCAGACCTGCACTCATGAGAGCAGAGAATTACATTTTATCCAGAGATAAGCAAACACCAGGCACCCACGAGTGCAGAGAGTTGCGCAGAGCCTACATCATATTCTACACACAATGACTCGAATAAAATGGCATTGTAATTGCATCAAAATAGGAAAGCACGGCCCGAGGAGGAATGAAAACACATGTAACATTCAAGAGAACCAGAAATGCGCTGCTGTTGAACTTGTGGGAAGCTGACCTACCACTCTTGGGAAGGGACACACATGCTGCCCTTGCTGTTGAGCTTGAGTAGGCTTTGCTTGCAAATGCTAGCGTTCAGGCATTCAGGATCCAATCAAGCTGATAACATGGTGGAATAGCTAGTGGACGTGGAAACATGATGGAACAACTGTGAACTGTATCATACTGATATGCTCTCGAGAGAGATTGGGAGAGAGGGCGGGGAGCGCTCCAACAAGATTGGAGGCTTTCATGCCCGAGCTTTCGCGACAAGCCAACAAAGCAAGCACAGCTCAGTATCAGTATTCACAGTGAGCAACTCATGACCCCTGGTGCCTGCCCCCACGACAAACCATGACAAGCTGATAGTTTGCTTGTGTTTCTCGCAGTGACGTGAACCAGCAGGGGTAGAGGATCGAATAATGTTGAATAGGCAAATCATTTGGTGGAGCTGCCACTGTACATTTGGTGTTCGGGAATATATAGATTCATATTGTATATATACAATGTATATATATATACATGTTTCATTATGTTTCTAGTAATACATTGATTCATTGATGTATACAGATTTCCATGCAGATTTCAGTAGACCTTACCTCCTCTAATTGGAGTGGCCTTTAGCGCATGAGGGCATTTGAGAAGAAAGTGCAGACAGCATGTCATGAACGGGAGACGCATCAAACTAAAAATAAAAATGCATCAAACAATAACAAACATGCGTTAAAATAAACATGAAAATGCATCAACAAAAAACATAGAAAGAACCGAGCAAAGGAAGAAAGGAAGGAAGGAAGGAACAAAGCAAGATAGGAAGCAACAAAGGAAGGAAGGAAGGAAGGAAGGAGAAGCAAGAAAGGAAGAAGGAAGGAAGGAAGGAAGGAAGGCAGTGAAATTGAAATGCGATGTTGCAAAACTTTGCCCAGATGCCCAGCGCAGAGACCATTGCAGTTATCATTGGGGAAACTCCGTGATATTTGTTTTTTGGTCGTGCCAAGTTACATTGCGGGGGAGACGCTACGCCCTCCCCCCCGCCCCCTCCCGCTTTTAATTGTTGAGCGGTTTCATTTCATGCATTTCATTCGTTCATTGACTCGTTCATTCTTTCTTCCGTCTTTCTGACATTTTCATTTTCCTTTCATGTGATTTTCCTGTTTGTTTGATTGTTTCTTCTGATCACTGCTTCGAATCGACTACTGCTCTTCCCTCTGCACGTTTGGGTCCGTTTATTTTTTTTTCTTGATCACGCTGAAATATGTTTATTTGTTGATTCACTTTTGTGTTTTTGTTGATCCCCCGCCCGTCACAATGGAATATTGCTCTTCCCTCTGCACGTTTGGGTCAGTTTATTTTTGTTGTTTCTTGAACACACTGAAATATATGTATTTGTTGATTCATTTTTTTGTTGATCCCCCGCTCGTCACAATAGAATATTGCTCTTCCCTCTGCACGCTTGGGTGCGTTTACTTTTTTAAAATTCATTTTTGTTTTTTTCTTGATCCCCTGAAATATATTTACGTGTTGATTCATTTTTATTTGTATTTGATCCCTCGCCCGTTATGAACTGCCAGACCAGAAGGGCCATAACTTTGGCGGACATTGGTGAGAAGGGCATCTTCTATTTGTAGATGTTGTGCAAACTGAATACGAGAGTGCAACAGCTGGGACAAAATCTTGGTTTGCTTCACTCCTGCGACTCTGACTGTTTTAGCTTTTCTGAAGTATGCAGTGCTCTAGCAGCTAGCACATTGAGCCAGGATAGAGAAGCTTTGCGAAGAGCCCTCTTTTGGCCGCGTTGGTGCCCAAGTTCTTTGCTTTGGATGGTGACTTCTTTGTGCTTGGTGTGCGCTCCCCAATCGAGCCTGTCCAACGAGGTTTGCTTGTACCTTCAAGGCCTTGCAAATTTTGCTGCGACACAGGCTAGGATGGTGACAACATGTAGTTTTGCCAAAGTAATTGAACTTGTATTTGTTTGGTTTGTCAGGCAGACAAAGTCATGTATCTTCAAGTGTGCATGAACCTGTACCTCAAGTACAAGGATGTCCAGGGATTTGAGTTCTACTGTAAAATGGACAAGCTTTTGGCTGTGCTGCGCCTATCTTCAGGAGTACATTGGAGCGCTTAGAGTAGCACTGAAACTCAACGACCCAACGCTTGTTGCCAACGTGTTCAGTGCATGCGAAGAGCTTTGCTTAGTTCAACCTGACACAGAGAGTGAGAAAGGGAAAGTACTTCACCGTCGATGCTGTTCAAGAGCAAGTAATGCATACCGAAAGGTGTGTGTGTGTGTGTGGGCATTTTTTCAGCAGAGTCCTACATTGTCCTACATGGCTCAGGATCGCTTGGTGCAGAAACAGATGGCCTTCATGCAGCTTGACTTTGGACACTGAACATTCTTGTTTTAAGTTTAGCGGTGCCTCTGACGGCTTAGGATTTCGAGACGAAAGTTCAACCATGACTTTGAGGAGGCAGGTTTGAAACCACATCATTTCGGCAAGAGTTTGCAAGTACATTGCGTGTAGATTACAGTAGAATCTTGACTGCAGATGCCTACATCCATTGGAAGTAAGCAAAGCATCAGACTGCACCTTTCCTCACTGCCGGAGGATGATGAGCTGAAAGAAATCGCTTCAGGTGAAAGCCTTTCAAAGCACTTTATCTCCTTGGCCAAGGAGTTTGCTGTCTTTTTCCAATTTTGTCCCTTTATCCCAACATATCCCAACCCCAAAAAAATCTGGCTACCTTGAAATCAATAAAGTCAAGTTGGTTTGAGGTTAAGTGTTTCCTCTGAATAAGACCCAAACAAAGTCAAAAGGAGCTAGAAAGACGTGTAAAGAACAAAAGGAAAGGCTGAATAACAATTCAAAATTCTAAGTGAATGAAGGAACACAAAAGAGTTCGAAAGGAACTCAAAAGAAAAGACTCCTTGTCTTGCTATATTACAACGTGTTGCTCCTTCCTTTTGTTTTTCTTGCTTGGGTGGCAATTTAACCAGGGGGGGGTCCAAGGCTCATGGTGGCAGTTGTGAGCTTCTGACCGGGCTTTTGGGGGGCCATCCCATACCTTTCAAAAGAGCTCGAGACAATCGTGTTGAATTCAAAAGGATTTCCAAAGACCAAAGGGGACTCAAAGGAGCTTAAAGAGGACATGTGTGTTGGCTCATTTCCTCGCCAAAAGGATGTGGTTAAAGCTCTATCGTGACACCAGTGCAGACAAAGTTTTTTTGCATGGAATAGTGGTTGCCGTGGTTGCCGACAGGAGCTTGACGTCTTAGAGCCCAAACTCCCAGAGCAAATCTACAAGTCTCACCTCGAGGCGGACTCTATGACTTTATTATAACGATGGCCTCCAACCTAATAGCAAACTATATTCACTAGGCTAGACTAGAAAGGTATATACTGAAATTGAGAGGAGTTGTGCCAGGAAAAGCGGTCGACAGCAGTCTTGGACTCTGCAAAGCAGAATCTGGCATCCTCATTTGTAAATGCCTTCGTCAATGCCGGATTCTGCAAGGTGCGCTGTAGAGTCTCGTGTGACTGGCTGAACGCTGAACCCCAAAACTCTTAGCTTGGAAGGGATATCAACATGTTGCTTCGGTTTCTCTATGGTGTCCCAAGAACTGGACATATCATATTGGATATACATATATATATATGGTACCCCCCAAAGAAACACCTACCCAAACTCACATTTCACTAATATTTACAGTAAAAATGCATATTTTGGGCAACATTTTTCTGAGTAAAAAATAAAGGTTGTGAATATACATTGCACATATATTTTATATACATTTCACATATGTTTGTAAATTATAGATAGATTGCATACTCAGCCCCCACCGCAGCCTTAACCTGAGGAGATGAAGATGAATCATATGAATAAAATATTGAACCAAATGAAATAATATATAAAATAGTCTCCATACGCAATAAAGTAGGCTCACTGCGCACATTTACTAATCACAGACTGCCAAACCCAAAAAAAAACAAAACTCTGAGGAGAATCTTTGGTTTCAGCCTGAAAGATGTTTTTTGTTTTCATTGGGGTATTTTGTTTTTTTTGGTTTCATTCATCAAAAAATCAAAAAACACCAGGTGTTTTTTGGTTTTTGCTTTGGTCTATGCAACCCGGAATCACAAAAAACCAAGAAAAAAGCAATGAAAACAAAAAAACAATCTTTCAGGCTGAAACCAAAGATTCTCCTCAGAGTTTTGTTTTTTTGTTTTTTTGGTTTTGCTGTTGTTTTGGGTTTGGCTCTAAGTTCGACTTACTACTATCACCGCAGCGGTGTTTTTTTCCAACACAGAGTTTTGTTTTTTGCGCGCGATGGTCCTAAAATCCTAAGATTTCAGCACTAGTCCAAACCTTGACTTCATTGTTGTAGTCTGGAAATCTTAGAACTTTAGGATTTTAGGATTGTTGTTTGTTGCGCAACGACTAGTGCTGAAATCTTAGGATTTTAGGAGAATACCGAGTGAGTTGATTTTTGAAATATGTTTATCATGTCAATAGTATTTCATGTTTCAAATATGGTTTAGTTGAACCTCTAAGTATGTATGTTGTATTTCCTGTCATGTCACGTTTTGTTTCTAATACTTCATAAGTTTTTGTGCTCCATTTGCTGGTGTATTCTTTTCTGTCAGTATAATTGCCTCTATTCTTTTGTTATATCTTAACATCATCACCTACATTGATGTTTGGATATTTTCTGGTGTTCTTTTCCTTGATTGTCAAATGCACTCTTACATTTACTGTACTATCATCCTTGTGTGCCTGTTTTGGTGTCATTCCTGTTGATGAGTGCTTTGTGTTGTTGTATTCACGAAAGCTAGCCTTAGCTAGCTGAAGTTGCTCTTGCTTTAGCAAGTTAAGTGACGGGGTGGACGCGCCCCAGAAACCTCAAATAATTGATTAAATCAATCTTATGGACCCCCCCCCCCCGGGGTTCGACTCCCCCCTGCGCGCGGTGAGCGGGACCACCAAGCAGCTGCAGCACACCAAGCATCTGCAGTCTACCACCAAGCAGCTGCAGCAAACCACAAAGGAGCAGCAGCAGCAGAAGCAGCAGACCCAGAGCAGCAGCAGCAGCAGCAGCAGCAGACCACCCAGCGCCAGCAGCAGCAGCAGCAGCAGACGACCCGGCGCTAGCAGAGCACCCAGCGCAGCAGCGCCCAGCGCAGCAGCGGCAGCAGCAGCACCAGCAGCAGCAGCAAACACAACAGCAGCAGCGGCCGCAGCAGCAGCAGGAGACGCAGCCAAGGCAGACCACCCAGCAGCAGCAGGAGCTACATTGGACAGTAATACCTTTTTGGGTGCTACGTGCAGGCGGCATTTCTTGCATCATAGCCCTACCCCGCGTACGCGACTAGTTACGGCGTGGAGTCAGGCGGTGTCATTTGAGTCTTGTGCTGCTGCTGCTGGGGGGTCTGCTGCTGCTGCTGGGCAGTCTGCTGCTGCTGCTACTGGGAGGTCTGCTGGTGCTGCTGCTGCTGCTGCTGCGCTGGGTGGGCTGCCGCTGCTGGTGCTGGCGCTGGGTGATCTGCTGCTGCTGCTGCTGCTGCTGGCGCTGGGTGGTCTGCTGCTGCTGCTGCTGCGGCGCTGGGTGGTCTGCTGCTGCTGCTGCTGGGTGGTGCTCTGCTGCTGCTGCGGCGCTGGTTGGTATGCTGCTGCTGCTGCTGCTGCTGCCGCTGGGTGGTCTGCTGCTGCTGCGGCACAGCAACCGCTGGAAAAACCAAGCCAAAGAAGTGATGGAAAGGGGGCACCAAACAAAACCTGCTCCTGTCAGGTGGCAGTTGCTTACTGAATGAGACTCGACGCACCACAAAGCACATACTAACACTGCTTCTCTAGAGTTTCCCACGGGACTTGCAAGTGGACCGGCAGTTACCCAATGAGAGTGACTGTGCAGCCCGCCCCCGACTTGTTCGGACGAGGAGGCCCGGCTAGCTTTCGTTCACCCCCTCTGGCCTCAAGTTGTTCAAAGCTGGTATCAACATATCTGTCCAATTTGCCTTGTTAAATCTAACACGGTCATGTATCATCTTCTTAATGGTTCTAATAAATCTCTCGGCAACATGTGCATGAGTTGATGTTATGATATGTTGTATGCCTTCATTCTTTAAAAACTCTTTTACTACTGATTGAAAAGCACCATCATTGTCACTATAAATAGATATTGGAGAACCCATTTTCTTAAATGATTGTTTCAAAGCATCTAAAACACTTTCTGAATTGTTTTCCTTCATAGGCACTACATTAGCCAGCTTACTAAATATGTCAATAACAACCAATGCGTATTGTGGTTGTTTGTTTTGGGTTGGTTCTATTTTGACCTCTGGATTTTTTACAAGTGGAGCCATGACCATTATATCAATTTGATACTCAAATCTGGCAAAAGGTGCTGAGTATGAGTTTGAACCCCTATATCCCTTTATCTGTTTGTTAGGCTGTTTGGTCATAAACGTTTTTACATCATCCAAAGTTGTTGAAGGGTCTTTTTCCTTCGCCTTTTTGTATGTGGATTGAACACTACCGAACCCTTCCTCAACATCATAGTATACATTGCTTATAATCTGTTCCTTTGTCAATGGCATTATAATGGAATTAGATAAAAAAAATCTATTTACCCTAAACATATACTTACAGAAATATTGTTATATATTACTAAGTGAAAATGACTTCTATTAATTGTGGGTGTAAAATCATATGTGATAGGATAACATTTGAAAAAGAAACACGTGATGAACGAGGAGTTCTTATTAGTAGATTTAAAGTTTTCCATCAATATCAACAAAATGTTGATGTGTGTCGTAAGTGTAGTAGGAAAGAAAAACTGTTTAATAAGATTGAAAAAGATAAACTGAAACTGGCAAAGGACCGGTTTAAAGTAATTACCGAAGAAAATGATGAAGAACCAGAACCTGATAGTGAGAGTGATGATTACAGTAATTCATAATATCTTAACAAAACATATTATGAACTAATACGCCCTAAAATAGATATAAAGAAATAGCCCTACAATACATTAAGCTGATGAGTGATAATATGAAAAAATGTTCAAAATGTAAAAAGTACAAAACAATAGAACACTTTGATGGAGGAAAGGCATTATGTATTAAATGTCTTGAAGAGAAAAAGAAATATATAAAAAATCACAGAGAGGAATTAAGACCAAAAGTAAAAGAGATTTATGAAAAGAACAAAAACACACATACTTGCCAGATGTAAAGAATACAGAGAACAAAAAAGATATACAATTCTTGAAAAGAAAAAACAGTATCGTGAAGACCACAAAGAAGAAATCAAATATAAAAAGAAACAATACTATGAACAGAACAAGGAACAAACAAATACAAGAGAAAAATAAACAATACAACAGTTTAAAAATTGAATGTCCTCGTTGTAAATGTTTAGTTGGTAAATATACAATTAAAAGACATGAAGAGAGTCAAAAACATTAACTAAAACTGAAAGGTCAAGAACAAACAAAACAACACAAGACTTTCCTGAAAGCTTCCCAATCAAGTGGTGCAAGGTAGGTTTTAGGGGGGCTAGCATATATATATATATAATACTCAGAAAGCCTTGACCCTTTAGAAGCAGAGTCAGTTGGAGAATGTGATTGGGTTTGCCTGAAAGATGCAGTCTAAATAGTTTGGATTGGCAAGACTGTGTTGAAGCTAAAGTTTTGCCTTTGAAGGGGAGCAACCCGGGTTGGTTGCAGAATGGGGTCTTTAAAGAGCACAGATGCAGAAAGACGAAGGATGACGTTTGGCTGGTTGAAGAAACTTGACTATCAAGAACCACCTGGACGTTTCAAGTCAGTGTGTAGGCGAATGACCTACGAACCCAAACCTTTCGCTACAGGAAACTGACAAGGCACTAAACTCCTGCATGTCAATTTGCTTCAGGATGAGCTCATGACAATTGCTGATTCAAAATGGGTCTACAAGAACAAGGCGGGCCACTTTTTCCCTCAGACCAATATATGGCACTCCTCGCTTTCCAATGATCAGGAGCAAGGCATGATGAGCACCGTTGGCTCTCTTGGCGCATTGCTCTTGTGGGGTATCGACGAAGGCTTGACACAGATCGACAAGTGCGCCTGAAAACTGCTTGGAAGATTCAAGCATTCCCTATGTATTCATGTGCATGAACCAGTGTACTTAGATTGATGTATGTAGCACGCCCAAGGAATTGTTGGAACATGGACACACTGCTTTCCGGTGTGGAAAATACATGAACATACATGAAGCTATCGCAAATTCCGGAAAGCCGAATTCCTTTCCATCTTTCTAGGAAATGATGGAAATGGCCCAAGCGCTTTCGGAGACAAGCACCAGGTACCAATGGAGCTCAGATGTGAATTTGAAGGCTGGAGCCGGTCTTTGGTAATAGAATCTGCTCGAAGTATGGCGATCTCACCCGGCGTCACTAAAAATAACGACCTACAGTTTTGAAATAACATGAAATAACACTGTGGGTGAGGTTGGCATATGGTTGGTATCATTCACTGTGTTTATTACCTCCTGAGCAGCCTCCCCACGGCAAACGCCTTCTTTGTAATCACACCCCCTTCCCAACTGCCAAACTTCTCTCCTGCGGCTGGCTTGGTCGCGCCGCCAGCTGCCTGGTATTCAGTAATTGTTCTTATACGTTCTTATTAATGTGACGACTTGCATCGTCAGCCAGAGAGTTGCTCGTCACATCGACCTTGCTGCTTGCGGGCCTTCGCGTGTTGCGCTGGCATGGCACTGTGCCAGTGGGGGGCATTGTCGAAAAAGTTTTTAGGCGACGAAAAGTGCTTTTCGATCTCAGGGCCATAGGGCAGCGACAGGGCGGGCTTGAACCAGAGAGTGGGGGTCACTGTCCGAAAAAGGAAAACACCTTTTAGGCGACGAAAAGTTGTTCTTCGATCTCAGGGCGGGGCGGGTTTGAACCAGAGACCTGGCGAAGGGAAAGGCGAATCATACCCTAGACCACGGCAACTTTGGCCATGAGCTGCAAGGCTAATGCATAGGTGCGGAGCCGCCGCACAAATATGACACACGGCCCCCCAAAAAATAAACTTTTCAGGCCACGAAACATGTTTTTCCTGGGGCGATGGAGCTCGCACTTGCAGCTCCCCTCTCAGTCAAGAATATTTATGTATGTTTATTTGGTATTTCTGGGTTGTCAAAACTGCCTGTTGACCATCCGCTCTTCAGCCACTTTATGCCGCACCCCAACCCGACCTCGCCCAATATGTGCGTTGTTTCAACGACCGAATTTCAGATTTGAAATCGCAAAGTACGACCCAACCTACGAAATATTACAATTCATTGGAATTTTTGCAAGACTTGGACTGTCTCAAAGCGACAGGCGGGAGCGTTGCTAGCCTTTGGCCTTGTTACCTGTGGAGTTCATGCCTCAGAAGTATTGACAGATCATGTCTTCCTTTTGCGTTTTGCTTTGGACAAAGGGTAAGCTGCAAAATGTATGGTAGGTGTGAGATTTCATTATAGGAAGGAGTCATATGGCTGGAGGTAAAGTGAGTATTGCTGAAGAAATTCCAAATCCTATGCTGTGCTTAGGTCAAGAACGAATGTGATCCAGCTTGGGCATTGTTGGGTGAGCAGCTGGAAGCAGAGGCAAGGATTTGGACCAAGCATGGAAACAAGAGTTGCATCAGCCTGTGTTTATAATTGTATATATATATAATCCTCAGGGAATAAACACTATAGAATGCGGACCTCGAGGTCCAAAAAAGGGGTCATTCTATAGCGGACCAAGTGGTCACGGTTTGCTATAGAATGTAAAACATGCACTCACACATGAGTGTTATGTTTCACCTCTGAAACTGACATGGCCAGGATTTACACTTTATAGTTACTTTTTATGCAAATGCTTTTACATTGTATAGTCTTTTGAATTTATAGTGAACATGGTTTAGATGTCTATGTTTTCATTCTATAGACTTTGATATTTTGTTGGGAATGCAATTTATAGAGGCATTCTTGGCTTGTATATGTGTATGATTCATTTTATAGAGATGTCAGGTGCCTTGGCTGCTTCTGCAAAACATTTGCATTTTTGGCTGCGTGTAGTGGCAAGCTAGCCCATGAGACCAGAAAAGGATAGAAAAGGACATGAGACAAAAATCCACCTCATGAATCCTCATGAATCAAAGATATGAACATGTTCAACAATCTCTAAAAGCAAAGGTTTTGACCAGAGCCACCTCTTGGCCAGAAAAAATGAAAAAACAACCACTGCCATGTCATGTTTTACATGTTATTGGAGCTTCATTTTGACGTACACTTAGATGGGCCACCCTGGGCGCCAGTTTTTAAAGTATTTTCTGTGGGGTGGGCTTGGGCATGGATTCATTTTATAGTGGTGCACTGTGGCCACAGAGGTTGACTTATTACTGTACATGTTATTGCTATAAAATGCCAGGCCCAACCCCTACACGTAATTCCCAACGGGGGTATATATATATATGTACAACATCGTCAAGAACCTCGGTGTTCACATGTAGTAAGGGCCAAGCTGAGGTTGCATAATCAATCTATTCCAGAAGCAGTGGCATAAGCAAGGCTTATTGTCATGCGTTTGCCTCTATTTTTTGTCTCTTTTAACGTTTTGGGATACATTGGAAACCAATGAGGTTTCATTGAACCATTTGTTGAGTAATGTTGCAGGAATTGAATCGAGTCTTCATCCACTGATTTGCCATCGGACAATGATTGATGTTAGCCCTAAGGAAAAGTCAATGTCCTGTTTTGCTTGCGTCAGCCTAGCTTAAGCACTTCATGTCCCTGCATCGCGCGTAAGCTAAATGTGAGTTGCGTAAGCGACACTTGCAGTGTCGAACTCAAGAGGAATGTATGAAGCTCCTGAAACAGTACAGTTTTTGCTGTTGGGTTGTTGCAGCTGCAATGTGTGTCGATGGCATTCATGCATGCATCTTTAGAGTCGAGTTTACAGTCTAAGCAATCCCAAATTGTATCAAATAGTTTTGTTTGTTTCTCTTGTTCTCAAATTAAATTAACGCAACTTCTCGTTTCCAACAGGATGCACAACTACGCTTGGCAGCTGTAGTTGGACTTGGCTATGCATACGCTGGCAGTTGCCGGGAGGACAGCGCCAGAGTGACCATTTGTTCGGAGATTTGTTGAATTGGCCAGAGGACCTGCTAGAAAACCTGACCCCTATGATAGTGGACACTGCCTGCCGCTGAGCCTGACAACATCACAGACCAACCTCTTGTATCTCTCCTGAAAAGCATGCGGACCTAACATTTTTGTGAAGCTGCTTTGTCAGGCTTGTAGCATTGAGTGCTCAGCAATGGCTGCCGTGAGTTTGGGCTTGGTTTTTGTCTCCTCTTGCAACGAGGAGGCCCAGGATTAGGGACTACCTTATTGAATTTAATCGCTGCTCTTCACGTCATTCTGTCTACATTTCCTTTTCTGTACCACAGCACCTTTCGACTCCTTTCTGAAGCGTTGTCCGGCACTATATCTTCACGTGAGATTGCATAGCGGGAAGGTCGCCCAGGCGATCCTTCAGACCCTTATCGAAAGACAAGTACAGAGCTCAAAGTGCTTGTTTGTTTTCCAAGGCCTTGCTGTTTCTTTCTACAAAACACACCACCAGCTTTGCTACGACAGCTTTGCCATGCTTTGTGACACACAGGCTGTTGAGAATGCCTTGAGTGGTACCTGGCCACATTTCTTTGCCGTGGGTCTTGGCCTGGTCCTTGTGTTTGTATTCTTAAAACATCTTAAAACAAAACATAAAATTCGACCCATCATGGTGACTGCTTCACGATGGGCGTGTCACTTGCCATGCACGATTTTGGAGCGTCCCACATTCGAGGTTTGCTGTACCTCGGTCAGCAGGCCAGCAGTGCATCGCAGTGCCGCAGAAATCGAACTGTTTACTTAGATCCTGGCACTGAACATGGCAGGATGCCGCAGAAGCAACATTGTCTGCCCTGGATGCCATCACCCATCCGCTGGGAAAGTATGCAAAGCTAACAGTTGAAGGTGGTTGGAGCTCATCAGTGAAAATCGAAAGAGCACACAACAGCTGCGTGGGTTTATATGTTGTCATGTGCACTCAGCAGCACGTAAGCAGGCTTTGCATTTGCCTATTCCGGTGATGTTCTCCACGTGCAGAAGATGTTGCTTGTATGCAAGCTTGCAAGCGGTGCAAACTCAGGAGAATGGGCGGGGTTCAACAGGAGGATACGTATTATTGAACAGGTGGGAAGAAGTATAATGAATAAGAATGTTATAGTTATATTTATAATACAGTACATATTAATATGATACATGCATAGCATATGGATGCAGTTCATGTCAACCATGATGGTGCTTCGGTTCCTCTTTTTCGTCAGTTCCAACCACACTCACAGAGGCTTTTTTGAATCCGAGGCGAACAAGGAAGCCAGCGAATACAAGAAAACCCTGAACAGAGAGCATGATTAGACAATGAAGGAGCAAACAAGCCAGTAAAGGCTTGACTGAAAGACGCAAGGAGACCTTGTTCCCACGAACCCAAGAACACATCAGATGAACACAGGTGTGCGAGAATACCGGTATTTCCTTGCAAGACCACATTTCCTTTTCTTCACTCCACATTTTGACAATTGACCGTGCAACTTGTTCGCATCTTCTTTCCCTCCTTCACCGGTCCTTCACCATGCCGACCATATCCTACCATTCCATGTCCTCGTCCTCGCCCCCACCACTTCTCCAGACCTTGCTGGACCACACCCTGAAGCAAAACCACTATGCTCCACTCACCTCGATCGGGAAACCGCAAAGCCTTTTTCAATCTTTGTCCATTGACCTCACTTTTATCCAAGGTTGCAAGCCTGCACAGACCACTTGGAAGAAGCAGAGTCCTTCCATCAGGCTTTGGCAGAAACTGTCCGTATTGATTGGGTCATTATTGCATCCACTATAATGATGTAGTCACGTAGTCATCCATGTGTGATGCTTCAACATGAAGAATACTGCCTTAGTGACAATATTGGCAGCGCTCAATGCTTATGCGCAACAAACATGGAGAGCTTCAATTAGTCTTTTTTCACTGATGCAGTCATGCAGGTTCCTGCTCAGGTAAGGGTGTTTTGAGCTTTGCAATGCTTCAGCCAGGCCACAGCTGTCCTGGGCATTGCTTTGATAGCATTTGGTGAAGAGATTGGTTCACTGCTGAGGATTTCACATTCTCATTGCTGCTGCTTCCTGTGTGCTGTGTATTGGGGCTATCTTTTAAAGGTGCTGAAATGGCATGTCGGTCCATCGACCACATTCTGCAGTACGGTGAGCTAACCTTGAGGCGAGAACATATAACTGCATGATGTTCTGATGTTGGGACACATTGAGTCACATTGAGCCTCGTTTTGTGATTTTACCATATGTTGAATCGATTGTTCCGTTGTACCAGCTGGCTTCAAACTATTGCACCCCCTCTATGCAATGTACAAATGGGTATATAGCAAGGGATACATGGGGAGCGAGTTTGATCGTCGCGGAGGTCGTGATACTGATGACCTTCCCCAACCAAATGGATGTGTTTTATGATAAATTAAATTTGCTATTATGTGCTTACAAAATGCCAGTGCTTGGCCGCAAGACAAGATTGTGCTCACGAATCCGCATGGACGCATCTGTGCGTAGAAACAAGCGGCCAGACGTTGATTGACACTCTTGTGGCACACTCTTGTACGGCATTCTTGTAAGACTCTTTTGGGACACGTTTTGTAGGAGACCTCGACCTCCAAAAGTCATGCTTAATACGCGACTTAGACTTCGTCCAAGAATCAAACTGAGAGCTCTCCAGAACGCACGAGGCTTCCTGCCAAAGTGACGTGTTAAGCCTTCAAAACGATCATTTCGTACGAGATTTTGTGCCCTTGAAAACCCAGTGGCATAGAAACAATCACCTGCACCAAACGTAGCAACCTCATACCCCAAGGCCCAAGGTATTTGATGTCCACGCCTTTAATCCAATTTGCTGGAGTGATGTGGGTGCACGTCGGGCTACTTGTTTTGTAGCAACTGTATTAAATTCATACTATATATAATATATATATATATATACTACCAAGTTCAACTCCCTTGCGCCTGCTGCACGATTACGTGCATGTGGGAAGCTTTAGCGGAACACTACGCAGCATGAACTCACTATATACAGAATTGTGGACTCTGCGTAGGGGGCTTAGCAAGGCTATTGATGCCTTTTGCGCATGGCAGTTTTTTGTTTGTTTGCTCCCTCTTGAGGCGAAGTTGGGCCTGGCATTTTGTGTAAGATGTGTAGGCCACATCTCTTACACAGTTAGTAAATGATGTCGCTCAGACCAATATTATGCCTAATGGATGGTTGTTTGACATCCGTTGAAGAAAGCTATGGCCACCACCACGCTGCGACCCCCTCCCACACACATCTGGGATGGGGCCGGCATACCATGTCAAGTTCGGCCCCCTGGACTGGGTTCCAAGAGATGGTTGCTAGCCACCGTGGTATATGATTGCGCAAGAACAGTGTGGTCACACTAGGGGTTCAAGGTCGCATTTGATCACTGGTCCTCGCATTTGCCAGCAGCAATAGCGAGGACAGGCCTGTGGCAACCAGTGTGCTGTATGTATTTGGACACAAGCGCAAACTCCATTGGCAAGACCGATGGATGTAAGGTTTTGTGTCCACCACCACATACCATGATGTTGATCCCACTACATTGAAAGCTAATATTAGAGCAGAGTGTTTTTTTGAGATGAACGGATTTGCACAAACGTTGACATCACGAAAGGTGATCAAAATTCTGGCGTAGGCATTCTGCTTGTGGACGTAGACTCCCCGTAGGCATTTTGACACACTGGTTTGTCGTTGACACTTGCTGTAGGCAACCTTTTTTTTCCAGATGTTTGCTTGCAGCAGTCCATGTTGAATTCCATGGCATGTTAGAGGCCATACATCATCTGCATTTTTTCTGCGGAACTCGCACCGTAGGCTCACCGTAGGTTCTGCGTAAGAATCCCGTAGGCGAAAATGCTTCTCGTGACCCTTGGCCCACTCTTTATCGATTTGTAGTAGATGTGAGGCGTCAATGAGGTGGTACGGCAGCAGTAGCACCAGCAGCAGCAGCAGCAGAAGCAACAGCAGCAAGCAGCCAGAAGCCAGCAGCCAGCAACCAGCGGCAGCCAGCAGCAGCAGGAGGAGTAGCAGTAGCAGTAGGAATAGGAGTAGGAGGAGGAGGAGCAGCAGCAGCAGTAGCAGTAACTCAACCTTGTAGAAAAACAGGTTCCCCACTGCTGCCGCAAGCAAAAGCCAACAAAGTTGAACCAAAACCTCGCGTTCGTAGGCTTCTCCGTAGGCAAAAATGCTGGAAACGTAGGCGAACCGTAGACTGTGCTGTAGGCACCCTTCAATGATAATAGCCTGTATATATTCAAAAAAAACATTGCTCTATTGTAGATTTAGATAGATTTAGCCGATTTAGTATGTCAATAACACAATGGAAGGCGGGCAGTCCCGCTGGCGTTGGCCATTCTCCACCTCTCCAACCCGAAGGCATCGGAACGGCGTGGTTGCGACTATACTGTAAGTAAATACAGCTGAACATGTTTGATTTGCGCATTGGAACCCAATTCGGTTCTGGCATGCTTGCTATTCCTCCAAAGATGCTGCGCTGTGGGCATTGTCCAGTAGTATAAGTGCAATTATGGGGTTGTTTAGGCAGTTGGACAATTGCTGGTCTGAATATAGTATAGCTTCAAGAAGGCTCGGAGAGGATGCAAGGGAGCAGGAGCTTCCCAGCGAAAGAAGGAATCCTGCCACATGGATTCTTGAGAGTTTGAGAAATTGAGAAGATGTTGGAGGTTGAATTTGTGAATTCAGAGAGACGACAACGATCGTCAGAGCTAAAACTCAACTGCTCACGGAAAAACCGGCCGATGTGCGAGAGAGAGGTTTCGGTTTCGTGGTCTTGGTTCTGATAGCAGGTTGCAGGCAAAGCTTTGCAAAGCTTTGATTAAATGGCTCACGTTTCCAAGTCGTAGTGGTGGTGGTGGTAGTAGTGGTGGTGGTGGTGTTGGGGTAGTAGTGGGGTTGTGGTTATGGCTGTCGTCGCTGTCGCTGTTGTGGTTGTTGTTGTTGCTGCTGCTGCTGTTGTTGTTAATGTCAATGTTGATGTTGATGTTTCTGTTGGAAAAACCTTTTTCATAGCACCCATCGAACACTGTTTGAGTCTTGGACACACCATCACAACGCCCCCGGTGAACATAATATTTTTTGCACCAAACAAGTGCGGCGTAGGGGGTGCAAATTTTGCACCCGAAAGGAGATGCAATTCTAACGGAACAAATTTTCGGACAGCAGCGTTCCAGCGCCATTTCAATTTCATTCTGAAGCGACTCCTGGGTGCAAATCCAGCTGAATATAGGCAGGTGGCATGAGATTCTTCACAAAGTGGGTGCTTGTCATGGATATGGACCATAATGATGACTAAGGCAAGGTGTCATTGAGAACCTGGGTAGTCAGCAGTTCCAACCCTTTTTGCCAGAGGGCCAGCTGGCCACGATCAAGCGGTTGTTGTCCCTTGGGGATGCTTCTGAAGACAGTATTGTTTCCCAACAACAACGGGTCCTTTTGTAATATATAAGTTTTTCCATATTGCGGAAAGAAACACCATTTGCGGGGTAATTGTGTTCTTGCTTATTTTGTTGCCGCCGTTGTTGTTGTTGTTGTTGGTGGTGGTGCTGGTGCTGGTGTTGGTGTTGGTGTCTTTTAGTGTGCGAGCAGAAACCCCTGGAAGCTCAAAGTATATAGGGTCAAAGAATATTTGGGTGATTTGTTTCCTGTTCCATTTCGCACAAGGTGTGAAACAACTCACAGTCAAAGTTCCAAGCAGACACTGTGGAAGATTCCTTACTGCTACAGAAACTTTGCGTGCACGATTCCTAGTGTGCAACGTTCCTTTGATGATTCAAAGGAGCCACTGTAGCAGCAAAACGTCAAGGAAACGCCACCTGCCAAGCTATTTGGTTTGCTAGGTCCTGGTGATTGACACACTTGCCAAATTGTCTCACGACGCCGATCAGGAGATTGTGCCACTTTGGCCAGAACGAGCAAAATAACATAAATTTGTACAAAATGATTCTGTGAGGACGTGGCAATGGGTGCAATCATCAGCATGGGTCTCATAGGTTCGCCACAGTGCTGACTGCATTGCTTCATTTGCCCCAGAAAAAAGAGAAACATGTTGCACTATATAGATCCATTGCGATAGGTGCTGGGACCAACAATGCGAGACTGGCTGGGTTGCTGAGGCTTCAGATTGCTTCGTTAAAGGCTGCAGACTCTGCAGACCAAACAACTCTAGAAAAACTTGAATAACCTGCAGGCAATTGGCCGCCTACTATGCAAAGGATCCCAATGCATTGTTTATGGTCAGAGTCGCTCAGGGCCTAAGTCCCAGACACACGTGCAAAGCGTTCTGCGGCCTTTGCACTTCTTGCTTCGGGAGTTAGATGCGAAACAGTTGTGAGGCCTACTCTACATGGGCAAGGGGTTGCTGACCATCAATCCACTCTTTAGTGACCGCTTCCTGGCCACAATCCAAAGTGAGACATTTGTGGATCGACTTGACTTGACTTTGCTTCAATTTGCCTTTCCGATTCAGGTTTCTTGGTTGATCCTGTTGCCTTCGGTTCTTTAACAGTGCTGGTGTTGGTCCCAGTCACGGTTCAGCTTGTGTCATGCGTGTTGCCTTGTCCACCTGCGCCGTAACCCCCGGCAAAGGCCCATTCAGTGCTGCACTTGAAGTTTCTCAGCCTGCATTGTCGCGCACACGGGAGTCTTTGAACCATAAACATATAAACATCCAGACAAGGATACCAAAGCTAGCATACTGGCATACCTATACACCCCACGGTAGATACATGTAGATACCGTATAACAGGCATACTACAAACTTTGAAGTCATGGCTCACGATAATTCGCAAAAGAGCACAGGTAAGTGTGACTGAGAGTTTGGCTTCTTGGAAAAGTTCTGTGAGAGCTTTGAGTTAGGAACACGATCTTGGGCAAAAGCCACTACCTCTTGTACAATGTGGTGCCGGCCATGCGGCCAAGATGGCTGATTACTGTCGATGAGGACTGATTTTGATTGATTTTGTCACTGTGGTGTCACCTGAGGGTGTTTTTGAAGCTGTCCGCAGAGATGATTTGATGATATTTGATGTAGCTTTTGGCCTCACGTTGGAGGACATGAACGAGCTGAAAGTGGCTGTTCGAGTTGGCCAGGCAGTTGATGCACTGGGCTTAAGCAGACGGACAAACTATTATATAAATGATATTAAATGACTTAAATGATTGGCAAATGAAATTGAGATAATTCTCCGCATCGCTGAATCAAGGTGACCGGTATGGCTGGACGACCGAAACAGATCACTGGTTTCCAAACGCGGACGACACCTGTGCTCCTCAACTTTCAGGCTCGTCAGCCGCTCGTCAGCCGCTCATCAGCCACTTGTGAGTTCTTCATATTCAGCACATTGAGTGCCGTTATGCCACACTCTTGAGTCACTTGAGTTTACTATTGCCAGTCATGCAGCAAACTTGGATTGCCCAAGCTGCATAACGCCGGCCCGCCGGCTGACAAAGATTGAGAGATCGAACTATCTATACACTTGAAACACAACAAAGCGATTGCAATGACATGACATGATCTGAATCGGCAAAGCCATAGAAAAGATCATAGAAAACTGGCAGCAAGACCATTCAGGGCCTAATTAGCTACACCTCAAAAGAAACAACAGGACCCCCTTGATCTGGCAACCATCAGATAAATCTTTTTGGAACCGCGGCCTTGGCTTGCAGGACAGGGCTGAGCTGGCCACAGAGGAATACTTGCCTGTTACTCCTGGTACCATTCTAGAGGTGGGTCACTCATGTACAATTGTTCAGTTGATCGGCGATCGGCTCAGGACTTTGTCATCCTCAAAAAGAATCAAAACTACAAGCCTGCGACTGGTGCGGCGTAAAGTGAGAAACTGGCTTCATCTCCATGAGCAAAAATTGATAGGCGCATGAAATACTACTCTTGACACTTAGACATTGTTTCTTCATGTTTCTTCACCGTGGCATCAAAAAACAAATGACTTCTCCAAGCTTTACCTGCAAATCTAAAAGACCCTACAAATACTGTACATACGATATAAGCTTTCTGTGTGTTGTTTCTGCTGTGGAAGACCTGCTGAGCATGAAAGCATCGACAGACAAGTGCTCCGCAGCAATCGGTCAAAAAAAGCTGCACATGCTACCTTTGGTGGTGGTGGTCTCGGCGTCATTGTTTTGTGGATCCCCAAACTTGCTTTTTTGCTGTACTTCCTGGTTTAAACCAGAACACGTTTGTTTTTCCTGTGGTGGTGACACTGAACTTCAGACTTTAATCTATACTACACGTACTACAGCATCATTTCTTTGGAGTCTGAACATTGAAGTCTAATCTTCAGAAAGGTGCTTTTAGCGAAGAAGACTGGTCTTCGAAGGGACTGAAAGAGTCTGAAAACAGACCTTCAATTCCTCTTGAAAACTCTTCCTTTGCATCTAAGCTTGAAGGGAAGAGAGGTGTCCACGCTCGCTCAGGAGAAATCCAAGGGCGCAGCGGAGGTCCAAGAATCAACCCAACAGCTTTCACTTCGTTGCTGTCCTTCATTTCCTTCACCTCATTTATGATCTTCTGTGTTGGTAGATGTTGGTAATTAGTGTCTTTTCGATTGTCTACCGAACACGGTCGTCCATACGATGCAAAGAAACGGTTGCCTATTTGAACCAATTCGCGCCTGCCCAGGTCACAGGCAATCTCCCAGGTAAATCATGCACTGATTTGTGGTTAGGTGTCCAGCTTCACCTGGAAGAATGCATAGCCGACAAAATGCCAGTGACAGGGCTAGTGGCCGACCTGGTCAAAGCTTACAACCTGTTGCCAAGATTGCCGCTTCTAGCCTCCATCTAGGAATCCCTAAGCCAATAGTCCGGGCCTGGGCCAACGCCCTCCATCAAATGCAAAGGGCCTTTTGCGTTCGTGGCACGGTAGGCCCACCCCTGGTTACATCTACTGGATTCGCCGAAGGCTGTGGGTTAAGTTGTAGCGCAATGCTCCTTTGCAACATCGCCCTGTCCCGATGGTTGCAGATTCGCTTTCCCTCTGTCCGACTGTGGTCATATCTTGATAGCCTTGAACTCACTGCCACGTCGATGGACGCCACACAAGGTTTGTCGCTGATGACACAATTTTGTGATTTGTTGGATCTCCAGCTTGACCAGGGAAAACCTTTTTCTGGTCTAATGACCCCAGTGAAAGAGCAAATGCGCGCACAGAGAACCTGCCACTCCAGTGCTCAGCCCGTGACTTAGGTGCACACATGGAATATGGCCGGAGGCAAACAAACCATGTGCTTCGGGCACGAATTGCCACCATGCCGAGGGTCTGGGAAGCCCTCAACCGATCTCATGCCCCGCATCGACAAAAAGTACAAGCACTTAAGATTAAAGGCTGGCCACAAGCCGCAAGCCTTGAATGCAGGCACCTCCACCAACCTCGAGGAAGCACACATAAAGGGTTTACGCACGGGAGCCTGCCGGGGACTCAAAGTCCATGCGCCAGGGATGAGTCCTCTGGCACATTTGCCCCTCGTTAAACATCCCGTGTGACCCAGCCTGTCACCTGTTGGTGCAGACAGTTTTTACCTTCCGCCGATTTGCAGACCTTGAACAGGTGGGTGAACTCATCAACACAATCCTCTCCGACTGGGGTGAACTCCCAAGTCGACCTGGGCCTTGCCACGTGTTGTTGACCCGCCTCCACACCATCGGGCGGCGTTGGTTAGGCCATGGTTGGTTTGCCGATCACGCAGGCCACCTTGTTGACGTGTTGTGTGGCCCGCATATACCGAGGTCTACCAGCGACTCCTAGAAGGTTGGCCGACATATGCGCAACACCTGTTGAGCGCCCGCAGAACATTCCAAGGTCTCAAGTGGGCCTGCCCCCAGCTCAGCTCACGCTTGAAAAAGTCCGCAACCTCCCGATTGACCGTCAGGGATTGTTGCGCACCGCCCTCAACGGCACCTTTTTCACAGCGGATACCCAAACCCATATAATGCCAAAGCTCACACGACAAGAGTGTAAGTTCTGCGGATCCCTTGATTCGCAATTCCATAGATTTTGGGAATGCCCCCACTTCAATGACTCCCGACCACACCCGTAGCTGGTCGAAAAAGTTCTTGAAGGAGGCCTGCCTAAATGCCTCACATACCATGGTTGGATCGGGTTGCCGTAGCCAGTTCGAGACTTCCAGACGCAGCTGCTTGCCCTCCCAGATGAAACTGCAGTTTTTGATTTCCCGCCTAACCAACCTCGAGACGTGTTCCTTGATGGATCCTGCCTGAATCCGACATGCCCATTCACTCGGCTTGCAGGGTGGGGGTTGACAGCTGCAGGCCCGACGGATGTCGCCCAATGGTGGCCAATAGCTCAGGGACAGGCGCCGGGTAGGAGACAAACGAGCCTCAGGGCCGAAATTCTTGCGGCCACTGGTGCTTTGAGGTTTGCATTGCGCACAGGGTCCATCCTCAGGTTGTGGAGTGACCATGCCTTGGTGGTCTCCACTCTGCATAGAGCTTTGAACACACCAGACACCTGCCAAGTAAGTATGAAGGATGAAGATTTGTGGGATACCCTGGTAGCTTTGGCCAGGCAGGTTGGCAGTAGAGCTGTTACCATCCACAAAGTTAATAGCCAGCAATCTAAACCCAGTTGAGAGGTGGGCGTACGTAGGCAATGATAATGCAGATCATGGTGCGCGCTGGAGTGCCTATGCACGCCAGAAGTTGTTCCGCGCCTGGCAGAACCGAAGCCATCGAAGCCATCAGAGTCTTGCGAGATCAAATCCATGCGACAATCCTCAAGGTCAGTGCGGACGCCGTTGCCAGGGACCCCCCGGCCGCTGCCACAGACGGCGCCGGCGCCCCCACTGCCCTTGTCACATGCTACTTTTAGGCCCTTGCCCGGTCGACCTCAGACCACCACACACAAGATGGTGGGAGATCACTGGCCAGCCTTCTTTGAGTGGTCACACAGTTTGTCGCAGACGGATGCGCCAATAGTGTATGTGTATGCGCCGTGGATATTTCTGTTTCTTGATTTTGTTTCGCATACAGGCTTTGGCGGCCTGCAACCGACCGATAAATATCGCAGATGGAAGTGGCTGGACCGACAGGCAGGGACTGCCTTCGATCTCAATACACAAGTAAAATGGTTCCGCCTCTGCCTCCAGAAGGTGCATCGGCAAGAGAACACCTTGCTTGAAAGCCACTTTGTCCGGCCGTCGTCGCCACTTTTCAGGTATTGGACACACTGTGTTGCACTGAGGTTCGCAGAGCACCGGGCTCGAGCGGTCGAGCAGTTCGTTCGTGCCTTCGGAGCCGCTTTCACTTCGAGCCGCCATTTCGATGTAGTTCAGGTTTAGCTGACCCTTGAGCCGAGGGCTTCCCCCGCGAAAGCTGCGGAGCCGGATTCTTGCGAAAAAGCGGGAAAGTGGAAATTAGTGTCAATGTTCCCACCGCCTGCCCTCACGACTTCAATTGGCTTCTTGGTTGCCTGCATGTTCAATAGACACGTAAAAATAACGTTAATCTTAGATTTCTTCTTCCGACAGCTCAAAAGAGACGCTAAAACACGCGAAAGAACCTTGCATTAGCACAACAGCATTGGACATGCATTGCGCATCGTGTTCAAAACAATACAGTGTTGCCATGGCATAGAATCATGCTCATTAGTTTTTGTTGGGTGTAACACCAAGAATACTTATGCCATATGTGGGTGTTCGGAGATGAACGCCAATTCTTCAACCAGCACTGAGCCCTTCAATGTTCAGGCGGGTGTCCACTGTTGCTTTTCTTGTTTCTCCTCCAGTCTCTTTGCTTTGAACCCTTTTCATGTTTCATATTCCACAACAATTACTTGAGCCAACTCCAAGATTGCTTTTCCTTTTCGAACCAACTGCTTCAGTTGATTTGAGTATATAAATAGATGTTGCTAATGGTCCCTCCAGTGCTTTTGTCCACAACCTGCCTTCAGGATAGTACGACCACCTCATCCAATGCGACTGCCCTCGATCTGCTTGTCACAACAAGTTCGTGAGCCTAGCTACAAGAACATTAAAGGTTAAAGGCACTATATAGATTTAATGCAGGAAAGTGCGACTGAATTTCACCAAGGTGACATAATTGCAAACCAAAGCAATTCAACCTGGCTATCTGCAGCTGAGGCCACACCTGCCAAATCTTGTTCCAAAGAAGTCTATAATGGCCGATTCGCAGAAATTGTTTGAGTCCTTTAAGGCAAAGAACACGTTGAGTGACAAGAGGTGGAGCACTTTCTTGGAGATCCAGATGTTCTCCATGCGATAGCCCTTGTCCTTGGTCAACGGCTCAATTCGGTGCCACTGTGCCACACCTTGAGAGTCATTCATTGAAGCACCTGTGCATCGATTGCATGTTTCAGGCATTGGTGCCATTGTTTGGGGTCGAAGGTGCCGTGGTGTGGAAGGAGTTGAGAAAGGCTGAAAGTATCTGAAAGTACTACAGTAGATAGTACGTCCTTGCTACTAGTAGGGATATGTAGGGATGCACTTGTTACTGATAAAGACTATATTCTTATGTATTCCGTGTTTCGTTTGGATACGACGACGATGCCGAGAGTGCAAGGCGATGAAAGTCAATGGAATCTCTAGGACGACTAAATACGGCATAGCCATAGGCATAGCAGGCTCTATTGAATTTCATGCAAAGTTTGCAGACACAGTGTAAAGGTGGTGAACATCTGGTCTTGATCTTGATGGAGTGACAATTTGACCTCGCTCATGCGGGGGAAGCACGTGTGCAGCTCATGCTGCGAAAGATTGCAAACACATGTTGATTACATGACACCGATTTGGCTCGGAATATTGTAGCAAGATTCTCTGAAAGGACGTGCCCTTGT